TTCCCGGCGTAGTGTGTTCTTTGGCCTTCCTCTTTTCCGCTTCCCTTCCGGATTCCAAGTTAGGGATTGAGTCGTGATGCACATTGGTGATTTCCTTAATGTATGTCCGATCCACTTCCAACGTCTTTTCCTTATTTCCTCTTCAGCTGGAAGCTGGTTTGTCCTCTCCCATAAAACGCTGTTGCTGATAGTATCCGGCCAATGGATGTTGAGTGTTTTGCGTAGACAACTGTTTATAAATACTTGTACCTTCCTGATGATGGTCGTAGTAGTTCTCCACGTTTCAGCTCCATACAGTAGGACTGTCTTGACGTTCGTATTAAAGATTCTGACCTTGAAATTGGTTGAGAGTTGTTTTGAGTTCCATATGTTCTGCAATTGTAGAAATGCTGCCCTTGCTTTGCCAATCCTTGCCTTTACATCTGCATCCGATCCTCCTTGTTTATCAACGATGCTCCCCAGGTACTTGAATGTTTCCACCTCTTCCAGAGTTTCGCCATCAAGTGTGATTGGGTCGGTGTTCTCCGTGTTGCATTTCAGAATCTTGCTTTTTCCTTTGTGAATGTGGAGGCCTATCGATGCGGAGGCTGTTGCTACATTTGCTGTCTTCATCTGCATTTGGTCGTGTGTATGAGAGAGGAGGGCTAGGTCATCTGCGAAGTCCAAATCATCTAATTGATTCTGAGAAATCCATTGTATTCCGTATTTCCCTTCGGATGTCGAATTCGTCATAATCCAGTCAATCACTAGAAGGAAGAGAAATGGGGAGAGTAGACAGCCTTGTCTGACTCCGGTCCTTACTGGAAATGCATCTGTCAGCTGTCCTCCATGCACCACTTTGCACTGTAATCCATCGTATGAGTTTTGGATAATGTTGACGATCTTCTGAGGAACTCCATAGTGTCGAAGAAGTTTCCACAATGTTCTCCTATCCACGCTGTCAAACGCCTTCTCATAGTCGATGAAGTTGATGTATAGTGATGAGTTCCACTCAACTGATTGTTCAACGATGATCCGTAGTGTCGCAATCTGGTCTGTGCACGATCGATCCTTACGGAATCCAGCCTGATGATCCCTAAGTTCGGCGTCTACTGCGTCTTTCATTCGATTCAGCAGCACTCTGTTGAAAACTTTTCCTGGTACTGATAACAAACTGATGCCTCTGTAGTTCTCACATTGGCTCAGATCTCCTTTCTTTGGTATCTTGATGAGATATCCTTCTTTCCAGTCCGTTGGCACTTGTTCCTCTTCCCAAATCTTTTTGAATAGAAGGTGAAGCATGTTTGCAGTTATTTCAATGTCTGACTTCAGTGCTTCTGCTGGTATATTGTCAGGTCCTGCCGCCTTCCCACTTTTGATTTGTCTGATGGCCATCTTGACTTCTTCGATCGTTGGTGGAGTGACATCTATTGGAAGGTCAATGTGGGCTGCTTCGATGTTCGGTGGATTCGATGGGGCTGGTCTATTCAGCAGTTCCTCAAAGTATTCTGCCCATCTTTTCCTCTGTTCCTGAATCTCAGTGATTGTCTTTCCTTCTTTGTCTTTGACTGGTCTCTCTGGTTTGCTATATCTCCCTGCCAATTTCTTCGTTGTATCATATAGTTGTTTCATATTCCCTTCTCTTGCAGCTTTTTCCGCCGCCGTTGCTAGTTCTCCCATGTATTTCTGCTTGTCGGCTTTAATGCTTTTCTTCACTTCTCTGTTTGCTTCTGCGTAGTCTGCTTGTGCTTTGACTTTCTCTGCTCGTGTTCGGCTGTTGTTAATTGCTAGTTTCTTGTTCTTCCTTTCTTGAATTTTGTCCAGGGTTCCCAGAGAGATCCATTCCTTGTGATGAGGCTTCTTAGGACCAAGAACCTCCTGACACGTTGAAGTTAGTGCTTCTTTTATCCCATTTCCAGTTGTCCTCCAAAGTAGTTTCTTGTTCTTTCAGTAGATCCTGTAGAGCTTGGAACCTGTTGTTGAGAGTAATCTTGAATTCATGGAGTTTGTCAGTATCTCGAAGGAAGACTGTATTAAACCTTTGTAGTGCTGTTTGTCCAGTTGTCCAGTCTTTCTTTAGCTTCAGTCTCATCTTGGCCACAACCAGGTGGTGATCTGAAGCTATGTCAGCTCCTCTCCGGGTTCTCACATCTTCCATTGATCTTCGGAATTTTTTGTTGATACAGATGTGATCAATCTGGTTCTCTGTGGTGTGGTCCGGTGAGATCCATGTAGCTGTTTGTATGCGTTTGTGTGGGAATATTGTGCCGCCTATAACCAATTTGTTGAAAGCACATAGGTTTGCAAGTCTCTCCCCATTTTCATTTCTCTCTCCTAGTCCATGTCGTCCAATTACATCTTTATATCCTGTGTTGTCCACTCCAACTTTAGCATTTAGATCTCCCATAAGGATGGTGAGGTCCTTTCGTGAGCACTTTGCTATAATTGATTGCAGCCTTTCATAGAACTGATCTTTATCATCGTCGTTGCTATCATTGGTGGGTGCATAACATTGGATAACATTCATTGTGATCCCTTGCTTCTTTGTTCTGAATGATGCTTTGATTATCCTGGGTCCATGAGATTCCCATCCCACAAGTGCATTTCGTGCTTCTCTGGACAGCATTAGAGCAACTCCCTGAGTGTGTGGCGCATTTTCCCCTTCGTGACTGGAGTACAGCAGCATCTCTCCTGTACATAGCCTTTGTTGTCCAGTTTGTGTCCAATGGGTTTCGCTGATTCCGAGTACTGCCAAGTTGTATCTCCTCATTTCCATTGCTATTTGGCTGGTCTTTCCTGTTTCCCACATTGTCCGGACGTTCCATGTACCTATAAAGAGTGTTGCTCTGGTTGTTAGAAGGTGCATCGGTCTCGTGACTTCCGAAGAATTTCGGCTTTCATCATGAGACGTCATTATTCCTTCAACTCCCAGGGCAGAGTTTAAATGGTTTGGATTATTTTTTCTGGTTAGCGTTTTTTTAGCGAGTTAGCTTTTCTACGGGATGGGGTCGCTAACCCCATGCCCAACCCTCCTCCTTTACCCGGGCTTGGGACCGGCAGTAACTCTAGAAGAGCAACAGGCGGAGTTAATTGACTATCATCTATATATATAGACTATTGTGACATTCCCATTACATTCTACGTTTGGAAAACTTACTGGAGCCATATCTGTCTCATTGGAATTACTAATTGTCTATAATTGTGGATTTGTGGGACCAAGCGCAACGGAACACAGAATAGCCAGCCATTCTAAGTAATAATACTAAACTCTGCGCAACCATAAGGAGCAGTTGATTCCAGTTACGTATCTTCTTTCCGCTCGCGTCATGTAGTGTCGAATCCCCAAAAGCCAGAGAAACAGGGATGGGTTTTTAATTATGCCTTCAAGCTTATAGGGGTCCCCCTATATGAAATGGTTAACCAAGGACCCAACATCACGACCAAGCTAGATTCTAATCACATAAGAGGTGGAACGAATGACACGATGATGAAAGCTAACAAACGAGGTCAAAAGAGTCGTAATATACCGAGAGAGACAGAAATTTTCGAAAGGAAACTTAGCAACTATGAACAAGGTCATGATGCTCACGAGAATCTAATTAGTGACTACCTAGTTTTAGAGAAACGGTTCCAAGAAGTGAAACGAAGAACTTGGAAAACAAAATCTTCATTTTCAAAGAGCAGTTAGATATCAAGTCTCGATTGTTCGATGCAAACTGTCAACTAGTATATGTTGCATCTTGTAGATCATGCTTGTAAAAATGGCGTGTACTTGCCCTCGCAGAAGCATATTATTATTATTATTATCAAATGCAGATGGAAGGAATCTTTAAGAACAAACGTGACGATTGAAGTCACCAGCTTACATTGGTGGTGAAGATGTTAGTGACCGGTGGTTTAAGCTATTGCTAGCTTGCGAACGTGCTGAAGAAATTTCTCACGAACTGGGATTGCTTCAACTAACAGTAGACTACATTGAAAATTCTGTAGCCAAGATCAGAGATGGAGTAGTTGTGGCTTCAGACATTTCGACACGTGGAAGGTGGCCTTTAGGAATAGTTAAAAGTTATGAAGCAGGCAGTGACAAAAAGAATAGGTCAGTAACCGTTCGAACGAATACCAGATTAGTGAGTAGGGATATAAGTAAGGCTTCCAACTAGTCACTTGTATCAACATAGGGAGGAAGGGTAGGAGTACTGTTATAAGTCCTACTCCTTCCTTTTGTGTGGATTATGCTATTGAGTGAACCATGACGAAAGGCATCGAAGTGGCTTGTGTAGTATGGAGGGATTTTGCGGGCCGGTGTAAGATCCATTTTAAAAGTTCCGTGTGTGAAAATCCCTCCATGCATACATTTGCAACTTGTTCCTAATGGTTTCTTTATTTGTACAATATTGTTAATTCTTTCGATGCCATTTGAGATTGTAATGTTTCATTTCATAATAGTTTTCTCCTTTTGTCTGTCGATTTCACTGAGTTTCTATGTTTCTTCCTGAACTGTACCTATGTTGTTTTAATTGATATTTCATCTTGGCGACAGCAATATTGGTTGTTCTCTTTTTGATGGTGTTGCTTGATTTGATTGGGATCGTACATTTTGGTTGTGAATTGGAGCACTTTCCCAGAACTGGAAACACTTTGTGTTATAAAGCAACAAACAATTACTTGATCTCTCCAGAAAGGATATAATAACACTTATTTTTTGGTGCGTTCGATCGATTATTGTGCGAACGATTATTGGTTGAATAACTGAGTGGTAATATTTGTTTAGAACCGTTGTTACTCAATCAACTTGTTCTGACTTCGATTGAGGTGCACGAGTGTCTTTACATCCACGGACAGTTATTCGTCACCCCAATCTAGTTTGGATTTTATAACAATGTAATGCCATGTTGAATTCACACAATGCAGGAAGTCAGTAATTAAGTTATTACGTACAAAAGTACTGTAACAATAAACAACGTGTAAGTTATCAACACAAAAAAAATTTAGGGACGTTACTTAAATTGGCGGGCTATTATGTGTTCCGTTGCGCTTGGTCCCACAAATCCACAATTATAGACAATTAGTAATTCCAATGAGACAGATATGGCTCCAGTAAGTTTTCCAAACGTAGAATGTAATGGGAATGTCACAATAGTCTATATATATAGATGATAGTCAATTAATAGTTCAGTTATCATATCCACAGGCATAATAGAACGAGGCATGTGTGTATGAGAGTGTATTTATATATGAGTAGTTACAATGTCATGCTATGTCGAATTCACAAACGTCAGTAAGTCAGTAAGTAAGTGTTCAAGGTCATACACTTAAACAACAAGTATAATCGTTTTAGTGATAAATATACAGAATGTGAAAATAAACAAAATAAATGCAAAAGCTATCGAAAATTGTTCACAAAATAGGTTTATTAGGCCTATCTCCACAACTAGCAAGATGCAAAGGATATCCGATCAAGAATTTATGACGGTGAGCAAGATTTGTAACTTCAACGTCAGTGCCAAATAATTACGGTAGGTGCATTGAAGCTTATTGGATATCAGTATTGCTGACCGTGAATCCGTAATAATTCAGTTCTCTTTATACAGCTTATCAAAGTTCAGTACATAGATCAGTAAATGTCATGATAAATCCTGATTTGTCAAAATGACTTACGATAAACTTGATAAAAATGGTGAGCATATAGTGATATTTGTTGGGCTGCTTGAACTTGTATCACTCCTGCTGATTTCAGCACAAAAAATCCATTTGGGAACCTAAATAAGTATATTGTTGGTGTACAGGTTACATGCCTCATGAAAAATATCTTTACCCACAGAATAATCTATCTTCCATATGGTTGAAACTGATTTACATAGCAAGACTCATTCTAACCACAAATGATCCAGTTTTCATGCTTCACATCCATCTTTATATGGAAGGCCGAGTGTAAGAAGTCTTATAAAATGGCGTTTTGCTTTCTAAAGGTTAATAAATCCACAAAATCAATAGCTCTGTAAGCCTGCAACATTTGACGCTGACCACATAACTTTTAATAGGCTCACCTAGCTTAATGCACTCGGTCACGCATCCGCACTAGATCACGAGTGAAAAGGCCGTGCTCAACTTCCGCAGCGACCACTAGCCATTTTACATCAGTCACTTCTCCATATATTGATAACACATCAAATATATCTTCGAACCTCTTTGCTTCTGACTTTTGATTTGACAGGGTGAGCACGGTTTAATTATAGAGGTTGTTACTGGCTAAAATGTTATCAAACTTCAAATAGTTGTGACATCTTCAGATCTTTTATAAAGGATAAGATTCATTTGTGTATTTCATCTGCTGAACCGAGAGTCCTTAATTTAAATAACAGAGAGGAGTTTTGTTGTTTTTCGAGCGCTTTAGTAAGGTCGAAGTATAGAGCGGCAACTACCTACCCTTCATCCTTATTGTTTATTATGTAATCAAAGTATTCTAGGTGACAGGTTATGCATGACTTCTTGGGAAAAAATATGTTGTGAAGACAGTCGACTGATGCTTATCTAGATGATTGCCGATTTCCTTCTTGTTAATCTCCATTGTTCTAGATGAGATGGAAGGGTGGTCAATCGGGCGATAGTTGTCTACATCCAGTCTGGATTTTTTTATAAAGTAATGGATGATGAATGGAGTTTCCATTTGCAAGGGAAAGTTTCTGAGTCAGAAGGCAGGTTGAATGTTTTGGTGAGCAGGATATGAGTGTCAAAACCACCATGTTTATTCAAATTAGCCAGTATTCCATAATAACTACTACCGAGAGAAGGTTTTCATGATCCAATTGAATTCCTCACAATACTCGGCGTGAATCTCAGGTTTGCTAATGTACATGAGTTTAAACTGCTGGCTGTGCGTCCATTCTGATTACATTTAGTCAATAGCTGAGCTAATATGATGCTGCGTAGCTCACATAGTTCTCATAGGTCTATTATAGGTACATTAATTACTTTTAAGACAGTAAGAATATCACACTGAGTACAGAGACTCTTCTTTAGTGTAGCTGTCGAAAAGCTATTTTTATTTTGTAAGTTGGAAGACTGTCTTTCAGCTTTTAATTTTTTTGTCGTAAGCTTTTATTATAGCTGAACATTCATTGGATGTTGAGAATAGCTGAAAAGTCATGTTGAACAAAGAACCTTCTTCTCAACTTTTCCAGTTTATATCTGAACGTATTAGGAATATGATCACGAGAAAATTAATTGGTACGATTATGTTCAAAGTTTAGAAAATGTAATGAAGCATGATCGTCACCAGAAGAAGAAGGTATTCCGACTAAGACCACGTAGAAATATTTCGGAGTATTACCAGTCGGTGTTTGCAAAGTTTCTTTTGGTATCTATGGGAACTTTTGTTCCATTAGAAGTGCAAGTCCACTTCCATTCAGTGGATTATTAGGCAACACGTTTGTGATCACTGCCTATAAATGCAGTATATGTTGGGACAATATGTATGAAAAATCTAATAGGCTAGTATTCCTGGTGGGCTTGTTGACCATCTGCGTCCAACTGTTTGTTTCTAGAACTTCAAAGATTTTTTCGAGATAAAAAGTACCACGTAATGGATGCGAACAAACACTCGGCGTATTTAAACCACCACCTAATAACCTAGCTACATGTAATGTAGATAATTAGGTAAATACTTGGTTTAAATGTGCATCTAATGCATTGGCAGTATCTAATGGTCTATTGATGCAACACATTTTATTATTTCGACGGGCACGATTATATAGAGTGATGAATATAGCCTCATCTAACAATTCACAACCCCCTGTAGAAATTTTAGTGGACGCATAATCCGATCGTAATGGAAGCCAATTAATTGGCTGTAAATGGTTCAGCTTTGTAATTTGATTCGTTCAAATCGCAATACAATAAAGTGCTTTTATTGGATGTGAGAATTGACATTTTGTCCTATTATAGGACTCCTCAGCAATGCGCATCCATGATCCGGCACCCGCGAGATTCAAACCCAGGACCTACCAGCTTCACGCCGGAGCACTTAACCGAATGTTTCCTTGAGTTCTAGTGGAAAGCAGTAACCAGTGGATTTCAACCAAGTCTGTTTTAGAGATATCAACTAACTGAACACAATTGGTGAACGGTTGCTCAACTTTGTGGATCAGTTGAAGTTAGACATTAACATCGTTGAGTGCCGGCTTCCAATCGCCATGGAAACGAGAATCTCTCACCGCATAATGGTAGTACGTTGTTATTTCATAAGTTCACGGCACGTATTATCCCCTACTACCCTTTTTTCGGTAATTAATGATGTTAAATTTTTTTAGCAATTATTGATTGCTGAAGTCGTTTTTGAATGTGTGTGCTCAACTGAACCTGTAATAAATATTAATAAATATTATTATGCTGTCTGTTTTGTCTCAGGATTTTCGTTTTCCATATATGCATGTTGAGGTTAATTGCTAAAGAGGCTTCTGAAACACTGGCTATCTTCATCTGCATTTGTCACTGTGTATGGGATAAAGGATGTTGGTCATACGCGTAGTTTGAATCGTCCAACCACTATCAAGCTGTCCATTATGTTTGTGCCCTCTCTCAAATATGCAGGTCTTCACAATCCAATTGACCACCAGAAGAAACAGAAAGTGGTGGCTGAGAGTTGTCAACAATGAAAGTCTGGAAGCGCTGGATGATCGTTTCAAGCATGTGAAGGACGGTCGATCGATTTAAGTTGAACATTAACACTGGTGAATGCCGGCTCAGTGGTTCACGGGTCCAGCTTTAGCGCGAGAGACCGGAGGTTTTGGGTTTGAGCCACACGCCGCTGATGAATCCGTGATGATCATGAGTATTTGAATTATAGTACAAACTAGGAATCCTAAAAATAACCCAATTTAACCAAGAAGTGTTAGATGAACAAGAATGAACGTATTGTATTGGGAATTAAAATCAGGCAGTCATCAAAGACAAAGGTATCATTAGTTAATACAAAAACAGCACAATCCCATACTTCGACGATACGGCCCTTCAATGTTCTCAAGTTTCCAATGGCGGTCCAGCTTGGATTAACTCACGAATTTAACTAATGAAATACCACATCCAGTCAAATATTACTGTTCTCACTTAGATCAACATCTAAGCTTACTTAATTATATGATGTTGATATTTAAATCAATGAATGAAAATCGTAAGACAAAACAAGACTATCTTAGTGGATTATTGATAACAATGACAAAAGAATTTCAGGAATAATTTTTATCAGCAAAAATCGTAATTATTCTATATTTTGATAACGACTATACATAATTATAAGAATAATTAAGATTGACTTGATAAGATTTACAAACATTCCAATGAACGATATAGATCAATGGTACAATAAACCAACTCAGTAAAAATGACCATTGTGTGAAATTATCTTTTATCTGAAGTGTATGTCTAGTCAGTTCAAGAATGTAGATCACTATCAACCTGCAAAATGTAAGTCTTATCATGACTTTCGCAATTTGGGAGATGGAATACTAGGTTACGCATCATCAACGCAACCACAACTTGCGAGCGCCTGTCTTAATTGTCCACGAAGACAATTACAACAAATCATTCCACCTTACCAAAATAAGGATTTTTTCGGCCTCCAGAAATCCCTTGTTCCACTAACACTACAATACGCTCAAGCTATAGCCCATACGTTCCGGGTAACACATTAAACCATAGTACAGACATATCTAGAACTCATACCATCGATAAGGATGCTCTCGGTTTTGTACACTACGTACTCCCTTTTTAAACTTATTACTTATTATTGCACGTTCATTTCTTAACAAAATTTCAGCCTTGAGAACCTTAGCTTTTCTAGCCAAGCCTTCTCTTTTACTTATTACTGTGTTATCCAGCAGTAGCCGATTCCGAAATAAATATCCAGAACTATCGACTCTATCGTTGTGACAGAGAAACTAAGCGAGCAGGCGGTTATCTTATGTTTGCTTTAGATACCTTAACAACTAACAAAGTTGAAGATAGTATCTTGAATAGTAGAATCGATCTGGATATCAACCTGACCGGAATATTTTGGCAATCCTCACTTTGTTGTTCCGTGCTTCCTACTTTAATCTTACATTCTCTAGTTGTAGATATTTATCAATAACTCGTTCTGGCACTGGAAGAAATACGTTCATAAATCATCAGGCTATTCACTTAAGAAAAAATTAGAATTTCCTTGGTGATGCATTAGATTGCCGTGATACATGTCATAAATGTTGCTATTTATATCAAACTGATCATGCCTGTATACTGATGTGAATTCTATGATTATTATTTTCAGAATATATTATTATTATCAATGAAGGAATATGAACGAAAGAATGATAGAAATAGTTTGCCTTGTCGTCTGTCAATTCCCTCCTAAACAACCAAATAACTGAGATATTATGAACCAATTCGAAAACAAGGACTAAGGTCGCGAACACGTATACATGATAGGCGAAATGAACCCTGTTGAGAAATTGTGAACAATTCAGTTAGATAATTGGGAATACGTTGTTTGCACTCAGTGTATGATTAGTGTTGATCAAGTGTGCAATAGAATGAAGCTGCGTATTGATTTTTCATTGCGACATTTATATTAACTTTGGTTGTCCCTTACTATCGTCATACGAATACGTAATTGTAGTTCTAACTGTCTGGGTCAAATACTAACTCAGTTTGTTTATAAATAGTTTATTATCACTTTCAAATTACCTTGATTTGATTCGTATTTATCAGCTATGCTGATTATCTTAATACAAATTAGTCTAGTTTGACCGCTATTCTCTCTATATATAAATATGTTAATAAGCGATTGTGTAGTCAGATATTTATTTTCAATGTAATGAGCTGAAAGACATCCTTGAGATAATAAACGTTCTTAATTTGTTTTGTTCCCTTATTATTTTCATACCTCACTCTCATGAATTAGTGTCAGTATGCATAAAATATTCAATGTGAATAACACACTATATATAAACAATAATGATGGTTCAACGTATTCAACCATTTAGTTTTTGTAGGATATTTCTTACTTTACATAGATAGTTTGAAATGAGTTTCATTAATCAGTGAAATAAGTTTAAATCTCCATGTCTAATTGTTTCCGAATTCATATCTATATTTATAGTTGAAATTATGTCAGAAACTCAAACATCATTGTTCGTAATTGTGGCTGGTCTACCAAGAACTGGAACGACAACCATGAAAAAAACATTGGAAATACTTTACTCTCAACCTTGTTATCATGGTTATGAACTTGTTACCAGAAAACAATGTGATATTGCAAAATGGCAAACTCTTGTCGATGAAGTGCGAACAACACGTTGTGAGGAGAAGATACATAGATATTTGAGTGAGATATTGAATGGTTACGGATCCGTGGTTAATACCCATGCGTGTTGGTTATACAAGGAAATGATGACCTTATACCCTAATGCGAAGGTGGGTTGAGAGATTAGTTTGTGGAAGCTTATAATCTTCAGATTTTACTATTTCAAATTATTGGTATCTCTGCACTTTTGCTTGTTATATGTATATATATCACAATGGTTGAGAACAGGTATCAGTTATCTGGTGTTTTTCTAGACCGTAACCATGTACTTTATTACCTAGTATTATAATGACCATTACTGTGAAGTTCAATTGCTTCGTTAATTAGCGAACGATGCTTCGTATACTAATTCAACCAAAGTGTAACTTGTTCATAAAGCTAATAGTTGGATAACCTTAGAACTTCCTGGATTCAAGGATAATATTTGCGTCGCTTCCCAATAGCTTCATCACTCTTTCCCTTTTAATCATTCATCGTGATCAATAACCCAGTCTGTAACTGTTGTAGATAACCTATGTTGGGGATTTGTGCTGACAGTATGGCTTTTAGGGTCGAACGGGAATGGTGTGACCTAGCTCATGCCAAATATACACCTCGGTGTGGTACCCGACCTGAATTGCCATACTGTGATTTGCGGGTGCTAAGATTACTATGATAACCGTGTAGAACGAACTTAATATTGCTAGAGAAATGTGTTGTAGGTAGAGATATAAGAGTCGAACGTTAGATGTAGTAGTGAACACATCGGTTGATTGTGCGTTGTTGATTAATTTACGATAATCAGTCTTCACTTAGACGATGTTCGATAACCTACCCGATATCGGAAAAGTTCAACATCGTGAATGATATAAATACGGGTAATTGACACTGCATTTACTCCACTCTATTTCTAAATCATAAGCATTATAATATTCGGGAATGTCCATACTTCATACAACTGTGATGAATAGTTTAACTTGGCTGCTGAAATGAAATATGTATGGACCCTGTAACATCTAAATTTGAGATTGAAGTTGAATAGTTAATCGGTAGCACATTCACACTTGATTCTTTATTTTTTTTCTTCTATATCGATAATAGCCTAATATACCATCGATTTCGTTTTATACAGGTTGTACTAACAGTGCGCGATAAAAACGATTGGTTGACTAGTTTCCGAGAAGTTTTCATGCCAAAATCAGATGATCCACGTACAAAACAAATGTATGAAGCGAAACGACGTGCAGGAATTCCTGTTGAATTGGACAGACTTGTCACTGATTCACTGAAACTAGCATTTCAGAATGATGATCTTGATTTCGATGATGATGCAATGTTACTTGAATGTTATGAAAAACATATGAAGACTTTTCGGGAAAATATACCATCTGAACGTCTTCTGGTATATCAAGTTGCAGATGGTTGGGAACCATTGTGTAGATTCTTGAATGTAGATATACCAGCTAACATAACATTCCCCATCGTTAATCATCAGTCTGACTTGCAAAAGCTAAGGGAGTTGATGAAGCAATGTGGATCGATTGAGGAGGTTGCCAGAATGCATCCAGGAATTCTATAACATTGAAGTAAACACCGATTGTATTGAACATTGGCGCAATTATAAGCTATTTAATAAATTGTCGTGAAGCTTTGAATTCCATCTTGCTATTGACAACTATGTTAATTTTGATGGAAAATGTAGTCTCTAAAATATACTATAATTTTAAATTTCTTTGGTATTTTGTCATCATACTATGATAACCAGAAGTATTTGAATTGTAGTATAAACTAGTAATCCCAAGAATAGCGCAATATAATCAAGAAGTATTAGAAGAACACAAACAAATGTATTGTATTTGGGATTCAAAGTTACAACAGTCATCAATACAAAGAATTCATTGATTTATTTAAACATCACACATACACCTTCATATACATCGAAATCAGTTTGGTCATAACAGCCGAATAACTGAATGTAGGAATGATGTTACTGGAGGCAGACGAGAAAATGGTTACTAAACAACGTTTAAGTGTATTGAACAGAAAGTTGTGTTTACAGTACAACAGATTTTTGAATACAGTTCTTGTTAGTATAAGCAGCTTGAACTAGAGGCTTGACTGGTATTCTCATGTAAAATCTATTCTACAATGTTTTGCCGAGTGAACTCAGTCTCATTGGGCGAAACATTTGCTGCCTCTAATTTTAAATTCAAGCACTTGGGTGAATCAGTTGAATGTGGTTTCCACGAATTACAGGTTCATTTTGAGCAAACTGAACAAATGATGTTCACTTTCGTTGTCAACACGCTGATAGGAAATATTAACGTCTGTAATTCGTTGTTAAGCTCCGACTGCCAAATTTCTCCACTCATACGTAAGGCTGATGGAGTTTCCTGAAGTGAATATTCGTTTGTAGCAATAATATCATGATTCATTGGAGAAGATCCGTTTGTTTATCACCAAACTTTGTACGGTGTGAACAAAAGCCCATTGCCTGTAAATTGGAAAGATCGGTTAACTGAAAGTAACGTTTTTCACATATTCATAACTTCATAAAATCTCACCATCCGTTAACGATCTAGTGCTATATAAGCTCAAGTCCTGATTTTCACATCCTCCATTAAACTTGTGTTGACCGGCCAGTCTCGATAAGGACACGATTGGAATAACGGAAACAATTATTATTATTGTAACCAATTGTACCAGAGATTGTTTTACTGTATTTGTTTAACTGTATCAGTTTCACTTCTTGTTTCGCTCTCCGCCTGGTTTGGTTCGAACTTGCTCACTCTCTGCCCGTTTTGTCTGTACTCTTTGGCACGTCTCGGTATTATTTCTATACCACGAGATCGCCAATAAATATACTTGATCTGGATTATTAAAGCCTTCTGATTTACGAGCTATCAAAGGAACCAAGTCGTTTTTGGGCACGTTATCGAATTGTAGTGGTGATCATAGTCCGTCCTTGACTCGACATCCACTATAAACTAATGAACTGCTTACTGATGCAAATTTGATCAAATATCTTTTGTCGTAAATGCTAGGGCGTTCGCAAGAATAATCAGATTTCATTAGAACGGTAAGATATCTTCTGGAACTGGACTCTTCCAATTCAATTTACCTCAACACCTTCGCACTCTGATTGGCTGTTGTCAAGGTTTGATATTTTGAGCACAGTCGTAGGCCGTACTGAACCCCGATAACATAACACAATACTTGGAGTCGGGGATAGGATTAAATGTTTTGCTGATAAGCTTGAATGCCGATTGGAACAAGAGTTCAAACTGGTTGAGATTTTATCTAATACCCAAATCACTATGAACTCATCACCATCATCCTCCGTATTTCGATCTATGCTCGATAACTGCATCACTAATATTGCTAAGTTTAATTATGACCCACCATCAAATGAAACATTTGACATCTGGTTCCGCCGTTACGAAGATATATTTAATGTGGATTTCGGAGATCAGGTAGACTCTTGTAAAGTTCGCATTCTCTTACGGAAACTCAGTGCATCAGAACTTGGCAAACACTGCAATATTATATCACCCCAAAATATAAGTGAAAAATACTTTGGAGTAACCTCATACCATATCGTCATGTCAGTGATAGGAATGAAGCACAGAAACGTGTTGACTTGGTCAAAAAGCTTGATGTCCTCTGGGACAATTAGACCACTTTCTTTGAAAGCAATCGAGGTGTCTGATATATTCTCGGATAACTATATGTTACATGAGATATGTTAGTTTACGGGCAATATCAAGTTAAGGCATATTTTGTCACTTTTGAATAGTGTCTGAACTTAAAATCTCTTTTCTTTTGAATTTTGACTGTTATAGTTTAGGGTCTAGTCTCTGTATAATTCTGTTATTGCGATAAGATGACAAAGTTCGAAGATTATTTCTTTCAAACTCGGACTAATTTTACAATATGTAGTAAAACTCATTAGATAATTGCAAAAATTCCATTTTTGAATAAATTTTTAGATTAGATGAACACAATGTAATAAGTTTCATCTGCCTCCAAATGCCCTGGTGCGGCCGAGAGTGGGGCGAGTCCACTCTTCCTCTAAAAATGCTCTCACATGGTCACGTGTATATAGCATATGTCAGGGAAGTCCTACTCACTGCCTTCTCGCACTACATGTGTTGTTTAAGAAATTTAGAGGACGAAAAGCGAATGTCCGGCACTTTAACCGGGTTGGTGGACAGGAAAAGTTCACCTAGGGGAGTTGGAAAACTACACTTCCAAACCAATGGTGCACATGGGCTGGTTCCAGTATCCTGAGGGAACAAATGGTGTATAAATCAATCGTTGATCACTGGCTTCCATGGGACTGCATGGATCAGACCTTTTGGTTAAAGGCCCCGGTTGTGTGCCCCTAAGAAAACCACTTGTTTCGGTTTTGGCACCCGGTCAGCATCATAGCCCTCACACAAATCAAGTGAGATTTGTGTGGCCCATATGTATCTGGTGCCTCTTTGTACCAATATTTATATGTTTAAATAAATAAACTAAAATAAATTTTCATCTATTCATTCATTCACTTCTAGTTTCAAAAAAAACTACATCAAAGATCTTCACTCTGCTCTAAAGAGTGCACCGTAGACGCTTAAGTCATTCTATGATTCATTTTCTAGTAATCATTGAGTCGTATTTGTAGACAGCACCGTTGTGGATGACAGTATTGTTTAGGAAAATCTTGGTAAGGATTGTTTAAATGATAATTTCTTATAGTATTCACTATCAGTTATCCTATTCTAGACTTGTTGTGTACCTTCATAAGCTAATTACTTAATAAAAAAGTTAAACACATTACCTTTTTTGTTTCATAAGTACAAATGAAATCTATCAGTGAAATCTGCTCACTCCTTTCTGATCCGGTTACTTTTTGTGTATAAAATTATACTACTCAATAATATTCAGTAAGCAATGCCATTATTTATCATTTTTCAGCATCTGATATTTTCTGGTATTCATATGAATCTGTGTTATGTAGCTAAATTATTAATGGATTTTATGTATGATATTACAGTTTTCGTTCGAGTAATCGGTAAACTTAATGACACTATTTTATTTGGGATATGTTTATGGAGATTCGATTAACAGTTGAAAGAGTGTTCTAGAATATCCTGACTGAAAATGAATCTAAACTCTTACATGAAATGACTAAGAAACCTTATAGATTTGGTGAATAGCTGATGAGGATGAATTGATGTAGAATCATTGATAGACAATGAAAGTTATTTATTGGGACATCATCTCAGAGTAAAGATTTAGAAAATTCGTTCTCTCTACATTCACTTGCCAACCAGTTCGATCATATATCAAGAGTAGGACATTTTTCTACTCTCTAGTTACAAGTCATTTCACACACAACGAGAACTCACACGTTGCACGTCTCAGGGGTGTACTAAGTAACCTATCACCTTTAGACTGTAAACTGGATCTAGATAGCCCGTTCTTCCTAAATATTAATAATATACAATTGACCACACAGATCAAGAACGTAACATGAACTTTTTTGACAAACTGATGTTGTTTATATGCATAGTTCGTAATAATCATTACTAGCCGACATGTTTAGATCATGTGTCGAAAAATAGTCGAATTTTATATGAACAGGGTAGTATCTTGATTTGTACAGCTACTGTACAGGTCAATGCAAATGAGCTTCACTAAAGTACTTGTTTAGTAGGATTGGTTGTTTCTATACATATGATACCATTGAGGACTAGGTAAAGCTGTTACACAAAACAATTGTGATGAAAAGATATCATTTGAAACTGATAAACAGATGGAAACCTAATGTTGAAATCCTTTATGCAACTGGCATCATAATTGCCTATTTATGTTACACTATCATTCAGAGAAGAGTTAAGTGTCTTGCGTTGAAACAACAGCTGAAATTGATTATTGGAAAAACTCACTACCCAACTGAGGTATGAGCTTGCTGAAGTTATTGCGAAGAATTCAGGAAGGCTTTGAAAATGAAAGCCAATTGTCTTTGTTAACTTAATGCTCACCTTCTAGATGACTATAAACACTGAGCTTGTTTTGTTCCAGCAATCCGTTTTTCACTTTATCGAACGACCAAAACACTTAACTTTGTAAGCATACATGAATCGTTAAATACAGTAAAAAAATGTTTCAATTGATGAGATCATGTTTTCGGTTGTTGTTGTTGTTGTTGTTGTTGAACATTGACCAACTGAAGATGAAAGTTCTTGATGTAAATACAGGAATCATTCTTTTTAAGATGTTTGCAGCTTTGTCATTTGTGAACTAAATGACTAGTAGTTGTTATTTCTTCGGTACAGAACATATGCTTAATGTGGTGTATGTGGTTTATACTGACAGATATAAGTAGCATGTAGCAGTAATTGAAAGTAGAATGTCAGCCAGCAGAAGATTGAATTGAAGAGAATAGGAAAGAAAACAGAGAACAATAAGAATAACAACAGAATTGAAAGAATCATGAAGTATGTAAAGGACAACTGAAGGAAAATGTCTTAGTAATGTCACCGAGTTGTATGATTTTTATGCTTTTACAAAAGCACTCTGTAGTTTTCTCCATCGAGTCTTCATTCACTACAATACTTCCGGTTTTCCACTTTTCCTTTCGCCTTCAGGATACCATGTGAGGGTTTGACTTGTGACGCAGTTGGGTGATTTCCTCAATGTGTGTCCTACCCACTTCCAGCGCGTCTTCCTGATTTCTTCCTCCACTGAAATCTGGTTTGTTATCTCCCATAGTAGCTTGTTGTTGATAGTGTCTGGTCGACGGATCCGAAGTATCTTGTGTAGACAACCGTTAATAAACACCTGTATGTTCTGGATGATAGCTTTTGTAGTTCTCCACGTCTCCGCCCCATACAGTAGAACTGTCTTGATATTTATATTGAAAATTCTGATCTTGTTGTTGGTTGACAATTGTTTTGAGTTCCAAAGGAAACATGATGTATTTGTAGTTAAATAGATGGACAGTATGAAGGTGATATTTCAAAAACTGATTGTTAGAATTAATGAATTTTTTCATCGACCAAACAATAGATGAAGCCCGGTTTCAAAAATTTAACAGGCACTAGTAAAAATTCTTCGACGCTATGGTGTTCCTGATAAGATTGCCAACATTATCTAGAACTCTAACGATGGAATACAGTGTAAAGTCATGCATGGAGGACAGTTGAAAAATGCATTTCCAGTAGGGACCTATGTTAGACAAGGCTTTCTGCCTTCCCCCTTCCTCTTTCTTCTGGTGATTGACTGGATTATGAGGACATCGACAACCGAGGAGAAGCACGGAATACAATGGATATTTCAGAATCAATTAGAAGATTTGAACTTCGCAAATGACGTAGCTGTCCTATCCCATACACACGAACAAATGCAGAGGAAGAGAACTAATTTGGCAGTAGCCTCTGCATCAATACGCCTCAACATACACAAAGGAAAAAGAAAGATTCTCAAATACAACATGGAGAACACTAACCCAGTCACACGTGATGGACAAACTCCGGAAGATGTAGAAATATTCACGTAACTGGGAAGCATCATTGATAAACAAGGAAAATCGGATGTAGATGTCAATGCAAAGATTGACAAAGCAAGGACCACTTGTCTACAATTGAAGAACACACGGAACATAAAACAACTGTCAACCTATATCAAAGTGAGAATCTTCAGTGCGAACATCAAGACAGTCCTACTGTGCGGAGCTGAAACTTCGAGAACTAATAAAACCATCACAAAAGAATTGCAAGTAATTATAAATAGTTGTCTTCGCAAGATGCTCAACAATCACTGGCCGGATACCATTAGAAATAGCTTTCTGTGATAGAGAAGAGAAACCAGCTTTCAGTTGAAGAGGAAATTAGAAAAGGACGTTGAAAGTGGATAGGATACACATTGAAGACATCATCAAACTGCATCACGAAACAAGCCCTAACTAAGAATCCTGAAAGAAAACAAAAAATAGAAAGGCTAAAGAACACAGTACATCCGGAATCGGAAGTAGACACGAAAAGGATGAATAGCAAGTGGTAAGGATTATTTAAGACAGAGTTGGATGAAGAATGCTGATGTGCAACCTATCCTTCCCCATGAAAGTTACCAGGCGTAAGTAAGTAATATAGGAGACATTAGGTGTAAGTAATAACCACATGCTTTTTAAGAATGTTCAATCAAACTACATTGTTTAGGATTCTCAGGCATATCCAGTCGATTAAATGATTGAATATAAGAGCATAATTTGATTTCGATTGACTAATACTTTATACATATATCTTCATTGAAAATAATGTTCTTGACTTCATTACTCATACATTAAATGAATAATACGATGCATGATATCATATACATAATAAACTGTGATATGTGTTACTGATCTACTGTATTGAGATGAGATGTGGAGAACTACTACAACCATCATCAATAAGGTACAAGTATTTACAAACAGTTGTCTACACAAAATACTCAACATTCACTGGCCAGATACTATCAACGACAGCGTTTTATGGGAGAGGACAAACCAGCTTCAAGCTGAAGAGGAAATTAGGAAAAGACGTTGGAAGTGGATAGGACATACATTAATGAAATCATCAATGTGCATTACAAGGCAAGCCCTAACTTGGAATCCGAAATGGAAGCGAAAAAGAGGTATGACAAAGAACACATTACGCCGGGAAATCAAAACAGACTTGAAAAGGATGAATAATAACTGGAAAGAACTGGAAAGGATTGCCCAGGACAGAGTTGGATGGAGAATGCTGGTGAGTGGCCTATGCTCCTCCACGAGGGGTAACAGGCGTAAGTAATTAATGTTCTACTGATATCGACAAATATAAGTAGTATGTATCACAATTGAAATGCCTAAAGATACAAGATTAAAAAAAGATCGGAGAAAACAGAACGAGAACAAAGAATGATTGGTACAGAAACGAAGGAACAATGAAATTTGAGATTTATCTATCAAACTGGTGGTCAGTATTCGATATTATCCTTAAACTTTGTCTATTGTTCGTCCTCATAACCGTTACTCGATAACGCCCTAACGGTGTATAATACAGAAGTGTTGATTGCGTTTATTATTGAACCATATACAGATTGCCAAAATTACAGGCATCTTAAGCAAGCATGAAAGAGTAGTGCCGAAAAAGCAAGCGAGTAATCGTTCGAGTCGTATGAACGAGCAATTAAGCGAGAACAGTAAACAAGATCACGATGTACATATATATATACATAGTGAAATGAATGAATCATCGAATCAATTAAGTCATTAATAGTAAGACTAGCAAAATGTATATATACATAGGCAGTAAACAATCGTCAAGCGTACATAATAAAGGTATAATAGTACAAATAGGTTGTTATTGTGTACGAATGACTCTGTCCATTAAATAACTTAACAAAATCATTGTTTATTCATTATTGTATTATGATTATTGTATACAATTAAGATGTGATTTATACTTAACAATGAAATATGTAAACAAATTATAGTCTATTAAAGTATACGTCTATTTGTATATTATTGTATTTTCATAGTTGAAATAATGAATCAATTGAAGGTAGACCACCATAGAAAATCTGGAAGCACTGGACGGCTGTTTCGTCCTATTGTAGGACTCTCAGCAGTACGCGTCCACGATCACGAGATAAGAATACGGCTTTGCCCCCAAATGCCCTGGTACGGCCGAGAGTGGGGAGAGTCTACTCTCCCTCTCGAAATGCTCTCACACGGCCAGCGAATATATAGCCTCTGTCAGGGAAGTCCTACTCACTGCCTTATCGTGGCGGGGGTGTTGTTTACGAAAATGAGAGGACGAAAAGCGAATGTCCGGCGCTTTAACCGGGTTGGTGGACACGGATGGTCCACCTAGGGGAGTTGGAAAACCCTGATTCCAATCCAATGGTGCACATGGGCTCCAGTATCCTAATGGAACGAATGGCGGACGAACCTGTCATTTGTCAAGGGCTACCATGGGACTGCATCTCCTCACGATGCTCCACTGCCTTGTGGATCAGACCTTTTGGTCAAAGGCTCGGGTGTGGCCCCCTAAGAAAACCACCTGCTTCGGTTTGGGCACCCGGGCAGTATCACAGCCCGCACACACAATAGTGTGACGCATATGTACCTGGTGCCCTTTTGTAACAATATATATGTGTTTAAATAAATAAATAATAAATGAACCTATCGGCCTCGCCCGAACACGCTTAACCTTTAGACCACTGAGCCGGCCAGTATCCAACAGTGTTAATGTCTAACTTCAACCAATCCACGAAATTGAGCAACACATCCACCATTGTCTTCAGTGAGTTATTATCTCACAACAGACCTGGTTGAACTCCACTGGTTAATGCTTCTCACTAGAGCTCCAGGAAATGACTCTTGAAGCCGGTCACTAGTGAGCATATGATTATAATCAGAAGGGGTATTTTGTGGAGATTTTAGTAATTTTATATAATTGAAATCATGAATCAATTTTAGCTAGACCACCATATAAAACGTGAAAGCATTTGACAACCGTTTTGTTTTATTGTGTGACTCCTCATCAGTGCGCATCCACGATCTCGCCTTGCATGATTCAAACACGAAACTTCCAAAAAACTATAAATACATGAAATTTTTGTACTACACTGAACACTGTGTTGGGAATAACATTCATACTTACTAGTCTTCTGTCTTCTCTCTTGCAACGTTGCGGATCCAATTGGCTAATTAATCTAGTAGTACGTGGCATAGCAAGAATGTAAGCTCTAGATATAACACTATCCATCTCTCTACCTTCTATCTATCCATCTATCTATCTATCTATCTATCTACCTATACATCTCCCTCACCTGTCTCTCCCTATCTATCCATGTCCCTCTATCGAACAACATTAAAGTCACATCAGTTTTTTAAATATTTATTACAGGTTCAGTTGAGCACACACATTCAAAAACGACTTCAGCAATCAATAATTACTAAAAAATTTTAACATCATTAATTACCGAAAAAAGGGTAGTAGGGGATAATACGTGCCGTGAACTTATGAAATAGCAACGTACTACCATTATGCGGTGGGAGATTCTCGTTTCCATGGCGATTGGAAGCCGGCACTCAACGATGTTAATGTCTAACTTCAACTGATCCACAAAGTTAAGCAACCGTTCAGCAATTGTGTTCAGTTAGTTGATATCTCTAAAACAGACTTGGTTGAAATCCACTGGTTACTGCTTTCCACTAGAACTCAAGGAAACATTCGGTTAAGTGCTCCGGCGTGAAGCTGGTAGGTCCTGGGTTTGAATCTCGCGGGTGCCGGATCATGGATGCGCATTGCTGAGGAGTCCTATAATAGGACAAAATGTCAATTCTCACATCCAATAAAAGCACTTTATTGTATTGCGATTTGAACGAATCAAATTACAAAGCTGAACCATTTACAGCCAATTAAAAATACTATTACAAGGGGACAAAATTTTTGTTCACTTTCAGTTGGGCACACACCATCAAAAACAAGTTCACCAATCACCAATTGCTGAATGTTTTTTTTCAAATCCTTCATTTACGAAAAAAGGGTGGTAAGCGATAATACGTGCCATGATATTAATGTCAATCCCCTCTATCTATCTATCTATCTATTTATCTATCCATCTATCTATCCACCTCTCTCTCTCTCTCACTCAATGCGTATATATACATATATACGTTAAGAACAGACATATTAGACGAGTATTTCATTCGACATATCCATATTACAGTTTATCTATAATGATCGAATCTTCAACAACAATCCAAGTTATCTCAGCTGGTCTACCAAGAACTGGAACTAAGAGTTTAAAAAAAGCTTTAGAAATCATTTATCATAAACCATGTTATCATATGTTTGAAATTATATTTAATAAACAATCAGATATAGTGAAATGGCAAAACCTCATTGATGATAGTCATATGATAACAACACCATCAACAGCAACAACAACAACAACAACCATGGAAATATATGATAAATTAAAAGAATTATTAGATGGTTACATAGCAACTACGGATTTACCAACATGTGGTTTCTATAAATATTTAATGAATATATATCCCAATGCTAAAGTAATGTTATATATATATATATGCATTAAACTTTATTATAATTACTGGTTCTGGTTAGCGTTTTTTAGCGAGTTGGTTTTCTACGGGATGGGATCGCTAAATTCATGCCCAACCCTCCTACTTTACCCGGACTAGGGACCGGCAGTAGCCACCGGAAACGCTACAGGCGGAGTTATTATAATTACTAGTTACTGATTATATTATAAGTCCTGGGTTTGAATCTTGCGGGTGAGGGATCGTTAATGCGCATTGCTGAGGAGTCCCCCCAAAATAGGACGAAACCTCTGTCTAGTGCTTCGAAGTTTTCGATGTTGGTCGGTTGCATAAAATAGCAGATTAGTTGTAGTTACACATTAACATCATTGGATGCTGGTTCAGCAGTGGAGAGAGGTTAAATGTTTGCTAATGAGACTGAAGGCTCTGGGTTTGAGTCTCACGTGCGACATTGTGCATGAGTACTGCTATGTGGAGTCACATATTAGGACGAAACGGTATTTTAACTATACAACTACTGTTTAAAACAGATCATGAAATGATGTATTATCTATCTATCTATCTGCCTCCGAATGCCCTGGTACAGCCGAGAGTGAGGAGAGTGCACTCGCCCTATCCAAATGCTCTCACATTGCAACACTCATATAGCCTCAGTCAGGGAAGTCCCACTCACTGCCATCTCGTGGTATTACTGTTGTTTAGGAAATTGTGAGGACAAAAAGCGAATGTCCGGCGCTTTAACCGGGTTGGCGGACACGGAAAGTCCATCTAGGGGAGTTGGAAAACCCTGATTCCAAACCAATGTTGCACATGGGCTGGTTCCAGTATCCTGAGGGGAGAAATGGTGTATGAATCAATCGTTGGTCACCAGCTACCATGGGACTACATCTCCCTACGTTGCTTCACTGTCTTGTGGATCAAATCTTTAGGTCAAAGGCTCCGGGTTTGGCCCCCTAAGAAAATCACCTGTTTCGGTCTGTGCACCCGGACAGTATCCCAGCTATCTCATAAATCGAATGATTTATGTGACGCACATCTATTCGGTACCTCCTTGTATCAATGTATATGTGTTTAAATACATAAATAAATGATACACCTTCATAGAGTTATGGATCTTAGCAAACAACTATGATGGTTGATATAGCTATGTTTGTTTATTTTTTATTGGAAGTATATTGAAATTGATATTTTTAGATTTGAATATCTGAACTAAATATGACATACAGCCGTCTAACATTTTCGTCAATTAGATTGTTGTTTCATCTATTATATAGTTGAAATCATAAGTCAATTGAAGCTAGTCCACCATAGAAAAAAGTGGAAGCACTGGAAGGCCGTTTCGTTCTATTGTGGGACTCCTCAGCAGTGCACATCCATGATCTCGCTTCGCGAGACTTTCTAGTACTAAGTCTATTAGTTTGCAAGTTCAAATATCTGTCATTAATAAAACTTGATCATAAATGTAATCATGACTGCATTCCCAGTTGTTATGTCTGGTTGTCATGAATTGTTGTGTTGGAATTGTTTATTACTTATACTTGTAAAACCAGTTAACATTGAGATTTCCATGACACAAAGTAAGAACATCGAAATTGGTACAAATGAAGATTTAGAATAACATATGTAAATGAACAATTGTACACCTCGAAGTGTACAGGACAAGCTGTGAACCATATGTGAAGAAATTTGAACACATCACTTCTACCTGAAGTTTCTGCCGATGATATCGTTCAGAGGGTTTCTTCGATCGTTAGTGGAGTGACAGCTGTAGGGATGTCTGTGTGTGCAGATTCGACGTCTAGTGGGTTTAGTAAGGCTGGTCTTATCACCTGTTCCGTTGTTCTTGTATCACAGTTACTGGTCGTTATGGGTTTATATATTTCCCTGCCAGTTCCTTCGTTGTGTCATGTGGTTGTCTCATATTTCCGTCTCAGATTTTTTCAATGTCATTATTAGGTCTTACGCGAGATTCGAACCCAGGACCTACCAGTCACGCGTCAGAGGACTTAACCTTTAGACCACTGAGCTGGCATCCAACGGTGTTGATATCTAACTTCAACCAATCCAAGAAGTTTGAGCAACCGTTCACCAATTGTCTTCAATGAGTTGTTATCTCACAACACTGCTGAGGAGTCCCATAATAGGACGAAACGGCAGTCCGGTGCTTCCAGGTTTTCCATGGTAGTCTATCTTCAATTGACTCATGATCTCAACTATGGCACCATCACCTTCAAGGTGATTACTAGTTCTTTGCTAACAAGTGCCACCATTGATACACGGTTCCCTGTCAAGACTTCCAGTCTTCTGAATTCATTACTAACTTGTACATGTTTTAGTCCATTCATTCAATATTTCAAACCTAAATTAACAAATAAATATATATATTATTTCTTTGATACCATCTTTCAGGTTCTATTAACAATACGTGATAAATATGATTGGTTACATAGTTTGCGTAAAGTAGTATTACCCAAATCAAATGATCCATGGAAACTAAAAATTGAAGAAGGTGATAAAGTCTTAGGACTTAATTCAGATTTCTACAAATTGTCTGAAGATTCATTAAAGTTTGCATTTCAAAAAGATGATCTTGATTTAGATGATGATCAAGTACTCCTTGAATGTTATGATGAATATAATAGATTGGTACAAGAAACTGTACCATCAGATCGTCTTCTAGTACTTCGTCTTGGTGATGGTTGGGAACCATTATGTAAGTTCTTGAATGTGGAGATACCCAATGGAATAGCATACCCTTGTGTGAATTCACATCATCGGATGACACAATTAACAGAACAATTAATTAAACATCAATCGTTAGATGCAATCATACACATGTTCCCCGATTTGATATAAGATGATCATGGAAACAATATCCAATACATTTAACTTTCATAATCAAATATTGATATTCATCGATGTTAACTGAAATAAAGTAATTCAATTTGTAAAGGTATTTTGATGATATTTTTTATTAGAATGGGGATTTGTGGATTGGTTGAAGTTAGACAATAGTGCTGTTGAATGCTGGCCCGCTCAGTAGTCTATTGGTTAAGTGACCGCGGGCGAAACTGATAGATCCTGGATTTGAATCTCGCGAGGCGGGATTGTGGATGCGAACTGCTGAAGAGTCCTATAATAGAACGAAACGGATGTCCAGTGCTTCCAGGTTTTCCATGTTGATCCATCTTCGATTTACTCATGATCTCAACTCCATAAAATTATTAAAATCTCCATATAACTCCTTCTGACAATGATCATGTGCTCACTAGTAACTGGTTCCATCAGGCACTTCCTGGAGTTCTTGTGAGAAGCAGTAACCAGTGGAGTTCAACAAGGTCTGTTGGGATATATCAACTCACTGATACATTGGTGAATGGTTGCTCAATTTCGAAGTAATTATAATAGTTGAATTCATGAGTCTACTGAAGCTAGACCATCAATGGAAATCTGGACGGCACTGAATGCCTGTTTCGCTTGCGCCCGAAACTGAAGGTTCTGTGTTCGTGGATAAGCACATCTGAAGAGTCTCATATTAGGGTGAATTGAGCATTCATTGCTTCCAGGTTTTCAATGGTGGTTTAGATTAAGTTTATATTTTCTTCTGAGTTTTGATCAGTTTTAGTTTTCATATGTACATCCTTCGTGGATTGACTCGATGTGACTTGTAGTAGAATCCAGGATGCACGTTTCTTTCTGTTTAGGATTTATTACATTGATGCATTACTGAGCAACACAGAATTGTCATTCACACTGAAAGTTGAACTTAGTAACTTTTGTTTGAAATGTTTAACGTGAGTTCCGATAGCCACTAACTAGTATAAGGAGAATAAATTTTTATTCAATTTGTTATGGTCTTCGTGTTTTCGAGTTGTCAGTAATTTTAATAAGAGGACGAAACGCGCGTCCTGCATTCCACTGCTAGCCAACATCCATCTTTGCTTAAAAAGCTTGTGACTTATGGCTATATCGAGGTAATGCGCACAATATGCACGTATGCCAGTAAGAGAGAGACTGATCAATTGCAGTCCTAAACATCAATCGGAAGATTCAAACAAACAATGCCAAATGAATTCCAAATTCACCTCATTGCACAAGCATATAGCTATCAGGACTCGGTGGCTGAGTGGAAAACGTAAAGGCGTTTCAAGCGAACGGTAGTGGGTTGGAGTCCTAGAGTGATTATCAATTCTGTGATGTAGATACATTCCCGCTGACGAGCCCCAAATAAAGCGAAACACGCATCCTCGACTACACTTTTAAGTACATTTCATTTGCATTTATAAAAACATCTTAAAATGTTTGCATATTATTAATTGTATAACGGATATACATTTTGAAAATCAATCCTATCAGTGCTAGATTCTTCGAATGTAAAAACATTAGTTTATCTTCATGATCCAGTCATTAGTATCTTATTGATTTAAATCGAAGCTGGATAGTTTTTCGGATCACAATAGGAACATATAGTTATCCATATTATATGAAATCAACTATAATATTTCGTTTACATGCATAGAATAAAAATCGATTTTATTAAGCGAAGATGGATAGTAGCTAGCAGTGGAATCCACGACGCACGTTTCGTCCTATTTGGGACTCGTCGGCTGGATGTACCTGCATCTCAGAGTTGATGTTGATTCTAGAACCCGAACCCAGTACCTTTCGCTTCAAACGCCATCGCGTTATCTACTCAGCTACTGAGTCCTGATAACCACTTGCTTGTGCAATGGGGTATTGTTTGTTTAAATCTTCAGAGTGATGTTTAGGACTGCAATTGATCAGTCTCTCTCCTACTGGCATATGTGCATACTGTGCATATTACCTCTATATAGCCATAAGTCACAAGCTTTTTAAATAAAGATGGGTGATGGCTAGTAATGTAATCCAGGACGAGCGTTTCGTCTTATTTTTCGATTCGTCCACTGAATGTGCCTGAATCCTACAAATGGTATTCACCCCTGAACTGGAACCCAGTAAATACAAATTTTATTTAAACATATGAGTGTTTGAATGTGAATATCAGTTGATTTTTCATATTGAGACTCGAACCTAATAGCTTTCGCTTTCAACATTAAAAAGTTACATACTAAAGATCAGTTACTCAGTAAATTGATGAAATAGTCTTCTTTTTATTGGTTGTTTAGTAAAATGTAATCAGCGATTCAAAGTATAACGCAGGTTATGTATATAAGATATAAGTCAAACTGTCAATAGAAACATTTACAGGAAATATTATCTATCTACCATAGTTGCACATCAATATTATGGTGCTGTAATGGTAATATAAATGCTTGATGAACAATAGAAAGTATTAACACCGTTTACTTTCACATGTGATCTCTCAACCATCACCATAGTGACTAACACCGACCATAATCTATGACACATATGTTAATTCTTTAATCCAGCTAGGGATTTATTTTGATGTAGGCGCTTATGAATAGCGATCTAAAATCTTCAACTTCGATGCTACAAGTCAATAAGATCACTCGGAATACTAATGTAATACAGTCAATAATTGCGCTGAGGATTCTAGAAGACATTATTGAGGAGCCACGACCAATTGGAAGTCAACTATATCGGATTTCAGAAAGGTGGCCATCAAAGAACATAGAAGATAGTCCCATGTTATCACGCATTGATTGAAAACAACCTTGTACACCAATATGTACAGTAGTCTAGAAGTTGAGAGCCTGTGTGTGAGACCAAAGACACCAGGGTTGTTTCTTAGTTGTGGGAATATGGATGTATACTGCTAACTTGTTCATAGCAAGACGAATATGATGTACAATGATTAGGTTTCTTAGTGTTTTTATAAATTAGATTGGTTCATAGTTCAGTAAAATTCAACATTTTCACAAATATATACCAAAAAACACAATATTAAATGACTTTAATGAATTTTATGGTATTGTAAGTAAAGATGGATAGTGGGGAGAAGTGGAAACCAGGACGCGCGTCACTTCGTCCTATTTGGGATTCGTCAGCTGGATGTACCTGCATCTGAGTTGATGTTCACTCTGGGATTCGAACCCAATACCTTACGCTTCCAACACCATCGCGTTATTACCCCGGGTAAAGGAAGACAATTAGGTGTGGGGTCTGTTATGACTTTATAAAAAAAAATAGGAAGACCGTATGCTAATTCGTTATTGATTTTATGTTCGACTTTTTGTCACGTTAGTTATCCGCCAATCGGAATACGACTTGTCTAATCTTAACACTGTGGCAAATTAATGATGTTCGACCAGTATGTGTAGACTAGCGTCTTTAACGTTCCCTTATCCGCTTACCCCTCCCAATTGAGTTCAAAACACCAATTACAGCTTTTGCTATGCGAATCTATGCGAATCATTTATTTCTCACTAACTCGGTCTTTTTATTTCAGCTACTAATTATTATTATTTCATAATCATAAATGAGAGTTATTTATTTAGATTGCATAGACTTTATCACATATTTACAACTGAAGAACATCTGGAACTCAAAACAACTGTCTGTCAACCAACACCAAGATCAGAATTTTCAATACAAATGTCAAGACGTTATGGGCAGAGACGTGGAGAACTACGGAAGCCCTCATCCAGAGGATAAAGGTATTTATTAACAGATATCTACGCAAAAATACTCAATATCCGTTGGTCAGACACTATCAGCAACAACCTACTGTGGGAGAGAACAAACTAGATTTCAGTGGAGGAAGAAATCAGGAAGAAGCGCTGGAAGTGGATAGGACACACATTGAGGAAATCACTCAATTGCATGACATGGCAAGTCCTCACATGGAATCCTCAATGCCAAAGGAGAGCAGGAAGACCAAAGAACACATTACGATGAGAAATGGAGACAGACAAGTGAAGAATGAACGAAAATTTATTAGAATTATAAAGGAAGGCTCAGGACAGAGTGGGTTGGAAAATGCTGGTCGGCGGTCTATGCTCCATTGGGAGTAAGATGAGTAAGTAAGTAAGTAAGTAAGTAAGTAAGTAAGTAAGTAAGTAAGTAAGTAAGTAAGTAAGTAAGTAAGTAAGTAAGTAAGTAAGTAAGTAAGTAAGTAAGTAAGTAAGTAAGTAAGTAAGTAAGTAAGTAAGTAAGTAAGTAAGTAAGTAAGTAAGTAAGTAAGTAAGTAAGTAAGTAAGTAAGTAAGTAAGTAAGTAAGTAAGTAAGTAAGTAAGTAAGTAAGTAGGACTTTATCATCAGATTAATAAATCACATTTAATTGTTGTGAATATTTGTACTAATGTAGTGTGGGTTGCTTACATCTATATTAATAGTATATGACGATGGTGAGTCAGAGAATGTGTTTCACTAGAAGATCGATAAGGAAAGAATAGTAATGAAACGTAATTAGTATGAAAATGCATGTACAACAATAATCGGAGACTATGGAAAAGTTTTTCACCCATAACATTCAAGCTAGAAACAATTAAGTAATTTACTCGAGGTCGATGGTCCTGACTTCGACTTCCACGTTCAGGGTTGTGGATGTACAATGTTAAAGAGTATCGTACTATGACAAAAATAGCCGTCCAGTGCTTCGAAATTCTCATTATTGATCTAACATTGACTCAGGCTTTCAACTATGAAAATACTGAAAACTCCACAAAATCCCTTCTGATAATAATTATAAGCTCACTAGTAACTGACTTTGAGAGGCAAATACTTGAGTTCTGGTGAGAAGCAGTGACCAGTGGAGTTCAACCACATCTGTTGTGAGATATCAACTCACTGAAGACAATCGGTGAACTGTTGCTCAATTCCATGGATTGGTTGAAGTTAGACATTAACACCATTGAATTCCGGCCAGCTCAATGGTCTATCAGTTAAGTGTTCTGGCGCGAGACTTATAGGTCCTGGATTCGAATCTCGCGAGGCAAGATCGTGGAAGTGCACTTCTAAGGAGTGCCATAATAGAATGAAACGGCCGTCCAGTGGTTCAATGTTTTCTTTGGTGATCTATCTTTAATTGACTCATGATTTCAGCAATGATAATATTGATCAGTTCAT